TTATAACAATGCAAAGCTTCTTATCAATGCCTAATTTCAACAAAACTTTTTTCTTTAAAGAGCCTCAAACTCTTTATAAAAAGTTTAGTAATGCAGTTGCATATTATAAACAAGTATTTCTTTGTAACCCACACCCAAATCGTCAACAACTCATGAAGAATTGTAACCTGGCCTAGAAACAAATCAAAAAGGAAAATAAAACAGTAATTGATAAAAAAATACGTTCATATTTTAATTCAATTTCTTTACATGTTTATTGCCATCAATTAAAATTTACCTCACACAATACAAATAATTCTGGCAGCTCTTCTTTACCAAATAATACTTCATTGATTCATATATCTCTACAATGTGAAGATGAATTGTCTAAAAATGCCATAAGTCAACGAGATGCATTTCAAAAAATAACAGCAGTGACTAAAAAAATATCAGAATATGAACAAATATATTTAATTTCAACAGATGAATCATTTAAGAAAACATTAGTATTAAATATAGTTAATGAAAAAAAATAGTTAATGAACAAGAAACACGATTAAAAAAGCTCAAAAAACATGCCCAAGCCCAAGCAAGGCTCAAAAACAAAAAAGCAAAAATGCTTGAAAAAGGTATTGTAGAAAAATATAATGAACCCAGAAAGCCATCAGCAGCAATGATCCATCCTGATTTTTGGGATAAAATTCATAACTGCATTGAATTTGGAGCTGTGTACAAAAAAAGAAGAAAAATTGTTGTTAAAGTACATACAATAAAGCATCTTCGCCAAGCATTAGAAGATAAATATAATGTGTACTTATCTCGCCAATGCATATCTACATATTTAGAACCACGCCATCCAAATACATTTTGCAGCACATCATCACCATCATCTGGCTAGAGTAGCTCTTGCCTCTATAGCATGAACAGAGATAAAATCTTACGTTGACGAACATTATTGCTTAGCTTCTGTCAAAGCTGCCTGGATCTTGGTTGAAGTTTTTCCTGATGATGCAGTTATTATCTCTCAAAATGATAAAGCAAAAATCGGTTTAGATGTTCTGGCAGTTGGTTGTACATTTAAAACCATTCAAACTATTAATGAACCTGTCTTAGTTGCTAAATAGTATATAATAGAAAGTTCAGGGTATTGAATTATACGAATGTTTTATGGTTAATTGGGAGAACAACTTACGTATTAACATGCGATTTCTCTGGCCTTAACCAGGGATTATATAGAATGGATAATATACAGTTAGATAAGTATGATTTTTTGTTGAAGAGCACCTTTTAAATAATGTCTTTTTTTTTTTTTTTTTTTTTGGTTAGTCACAATCATATTTACGATTTTGTAAAGTATTGTATCTTATATGTAGTTAATATGCTATACAATTATTCAAATTGAATTTTTTTAGCTATTATTGAGGTGAGCAGTCCTTTTATAATTATATGAATAAGTCAGTTTACACATAAATTTTGTATATACTACTTTTTACTACCTATTTTATTCTAAAGAAGTTTAAATAATTAGTAGGTTGTATTTATACTACAGTATTACATGATTGCGCATTTTCTCAAAAAGCCTTTTTGTATTACCTTATTACTCAAGGCTACAATTTGGGCTAAATTTGCGCTTAATCTGTAGTGGTAGCTGTTTGCAAAATGATGTATTTTTGATCAAATTTTGCAGATTGCAGCTCACACATACAATCGCCTGATTGTT